GGCAAATTACACACTCACCAAAAAAAAAAAGACGTAAGTCTCAAATCAGATCACATTTTCAGATCTGATCCAATCAAAAACGTTAAAGCGTACAAACCCAGAAATAAATGGTAGAGACGAAATGTTATCATTAATTTTTAATAATCACAAATTCGAAAAATTCGCCGCATGATATTGAAAATAAATTTCTTAAATTATCGATCTAAATAAATTTCTTAATTATCGATCTAAATAAATTTCTTAAATAATCGATCTAAATAAATTTCTTAAATAATTGATTTAAATGGTCTAGAATTTCTTTGCATAGCCAAAGAATAATAATATGTACTTAAGAGTAACTATTATCTGCATACTGGAATAAGCCGCTATTAAGAATGTCATATTTAGATCACTCCCTATGAGTAATTGACCTTTATTCTACATAAAGTGATTTTTTTAAATTCCCTGCACCGTACTGTACGTACCTACGTACGGTGTAGAAAATCCAGAAACTCAATCATTTAATGAGAACAATAAATACAACTAACCCATTGAAGATAAGCTAACATTATCATTCTAATTGTAGCAGGTATGCATATAAATAGTCTGCTTTTAAGCACGTACATATTTGTTTTTGGTGTATGCAGAGAGGCTGAAGAACTTTAATTTTATGGCGGATTATAACTTAGGAAATTTATACGTACTAGCTTACACATGATCTCTATATAGGTACGTACGTACATATAGCAAAACAATACAACATACTCCCATAAAGGAGTAACTCGGATACAAATTTGAATTTGGGAAATATGTACCCAGGTACTCTCGTCCGGAATTTTTTAATGTGCTACACTCTAAATAGAAATTTTAAAATTATCTCTTTAATATAACGACAATATTTAGATCATACATAGCTATCGCTATGCATAATATTAGGATCTATTTATACTTTATAAGGAGAGTGATTTGATTTCTTACAACGTACGTACGTACTTACATACAATCATACACGGTGAATTCTACAATAAAGAGAAGTTTGAAAATAATTACTCGTTATTTAATTCGCACTTCTACAATGTCTACCGCGAATAATATTAATTTTAATAGAAAATACACTATTTTCGCTAATTCAGACTATAGTACCGCATATAATGCTTATCGTCCAGTGTTAGTTGATTTTTAACTAGAACAAAAGGAAAATTAAAGAAATTAAATTATTAAATTAATATTCAATAATTTTTTAATATTAAAATTAGATATTCATCCAGTCTCTACTCAAAAATTTACGCTTACCATTCTTCACATTCCTCATCATTTTCCACCGCATTAGATGTTGCAACTGGTACTGTTTCATCGCCAAAGAACTATCAAAGACTTTTCAACAAGTGTATGCCATTGACATCTCACAAGCTATGCTTTCTTCCGCTTTCTGCTCTTCAAATATTCATTATTCGGTTTGTAAAGCCGAAGACCTTTCCCAATTTCAAGATTCGACATTTGACTTAGTGACTGTGGGCCAAGCAGTTCACTGGTTTGATAATAGAGAAAAGTTTTTTAAAGAGGCCTGGAGAATTTTGAAACCGAGAGGAACATTAGCTATGTGGGGGTATACGTACCATGTTATCGATGGATATCCAGATGCCACAAAAAAATTCTTAAAACTTGGGTTAGAAATATTACGTGACTATCGGGACCCTGTGATGTTAGTTATATATAATATGTATAGAGATATTATAATTCCTGATAGATTGTTCAGAAATATCATTTGGGAAAGGTGTGAACTTAATGAGAAGGAAGGGAAAATGAGTAATAGTGAAAGCTTTTTAAATGAAGAATGGAGTGTTGAACGAGTGAAAAACTATTGGAAGGCGAGTTTAAGTTGATTAGATTTTATTTTTAAAAAAATTCTACATATATAAATATATACATACATATATATATATATTTTTTTTACTAGACATGGAGTTCTTATAAGAGTTATATGTCCAAGTACCGAAAAGAAAACCAGAACTTAGAAGATCCAATTTACAGGCTGTTTGAGGAGCTTATGGAAGAGGAAGGATGGAAAGATGATCAGATTTTAAAACTTTCTTGGCCCTTTGTTCTTGTCTTGGCTGAAAAAAAATAAGTAAATAATTTACCGAATGAGAATATTTATTTAAAGTTCATATGCATAATTTATTATTATAATGTTGGCGTTATTGTTTTTATATTTATTGTCGGGGATGATGCTGAAATTTTGACTTTCTATGAAAATTTAAATTTTTTGGAGGGCATTTTGTTTAGCCTTTTTTTTATAGTTCGATTAGAATTTAGGGTTAGTGTTTAT